ACAGCCCCTGTCGTTTTATTAATTAGTACTTTAACGAAACATCCCTAAAAGTCAACACAGCCTAGTTTTTAACTTGGCATTTTCATAATTTTTCATTTCTAAACAAGTCGATCTCATGGCAAATTGTATACTAAGAGTACGTGCTGCACTGGTGGCTAGTCACAGCTGGGGCCGAGTCCATCCCTTGTTAGCCAGTAGTTTCATCGATTTGAATTTGCATGGTAAATGACTCATGCAAGAGGCTATAGGGTAGTCAAATCAATATAACACCTTTTATTAGTAGCTTTATAAAAATTAAAGCTAAATGACACTTCAATATCCTGTTGTTTCATCACATTTACACTTAAATACCTTAAATTGTAAAAAAAGTAACATTTTGATATCCTAAGTTGTAAAAGAGTTTCACTATAATAATCTAAGTTGTAAACAATTGGCACTTAATTAAATATCCTATTGTTTCACCACCTATACACTAAAATATTCTAAATTGTAAAAAATAACACTTTAATATTCTAAGTTATAAGAAAGTGAAGCTTCAGTACCCCAAGGGCCAAGGTGTGAGAAAATAGCACTTTCATAACTTTTGTTAGTTGTTAGAGCATCTCCAAGGGATCCCTTGGATATCCCTTAATTTAGGGGGAACTTTAAGGGAGGGGTTGGTTCTCCTCCAATGGTTCCCCCTTAAAAGTCTCCTACCCTTTAATTAATTATGTTTAGTTTTTTAATTTTATAGATTAGGATTTAATTAAATATGTGGTTTATTTATAAATGAATAAATAATTCAATATTAATAACTAACAATAACTAATTAATTAATTTAGATTAAGAAATAACCTTATATAATCATTAAATTAATTAATCATATTAAAATTTAACAAATAATTAATTTAGATAATAATTAACTATACATTAACTAAATTATATTAACAAATAATTATATTATTTTAAATTAACTATACACTAACTAAATTTAATTAACTATAAATTAACTCTAAAACAAAATATATTACTATAAAATTATAAGGGGAAGGTTAATGGACTTTAACCTTCCCCTTAATTTGAGGAGGATGTTAAGGGACATGGGGATGAAGGGGGAAATTTTCGGCCCCTTGGAGCTCATCTCCCTTAAAAACCCCCAAATTTAGCTAAGGGGTCGATTTTTCCGGCCCCTTGGAGATGCTCTTAGGACATATTTCTAGGAATATTTTCATGACAACTACCAAAAGGTACTAATGTACTAATTTTTTATAATTTAGGATATTTAAGTGTACATGTAGTGAAACAATAGAGTATTTAAGTGCCATCTAGCCTAAAATTAAGTATACATAATGAAAATATATTTACTCCGAAGGTACAATCAAAAGAGTATAGTGTTTTATCAAACACCTAAAAACTTGGTTAGGTTTGATTCTGACACAATTTTAAACTGATTTTGTTTTGGTCCAAGATATATATAGATGAACCAAAGCAACGTTAGTTTTAATGGTCAATTTCTTTTTTGTCTTAAAAATACTAGGCCAATGCTGGCCCGAGTTTTACCCAAAAACAATTTATTCAAAATGCAATCAGGATCAAATCTAACCCAATTTTGATGAGTTTTCCAAACAACTCTATACATAATCAGCCATAAAAATTAAGACCATCCTGTAATCAACAGGGGACAAGACATCAGAACATGGCCCATATAGTTTTCAATGTTTTCAAATAATAAAAGTAAAACTGATGTCAGGTCTTGACAAATAGCCAAGTACAAACTCATCTAACTATGGTCATTTGGGTTTATTGTCTTGGATTTGGTACCCTCATGTTAAGTTCATCAAGTCAAGTAATTAACTAATCCATACCAAGCATATTAGGTGAGTTATGTGTTTAATTAATCCAAATTATTCTGAACATCTACCCACTCAAACAGCCCTCAAAATAAAATCTTTGTCTTTGGACCAATCTCAACTCACATTCAAAACCTCTAAATTAAAGAGGGAACCACCGTACGTTGGAATCACGTGCAAAAAGAAAATCAATTAGGAGCATAAAAGGGCAATTTGGGCATCAAGCGCTTGTGATTCTAGCAAAACCCCCCACACTTTATTCAATTGTGGGGGCAAAGGGAGGGAAAGGGGCAATTTGGGCACAAGATCTTCATAAATTCACATGCCAAAGCTGGGTACTTTAAGTAAGAAAGATGTTTGTTGGGTTGGTTCTTGTTTATTTATTTAATGTATCATTTGAGAAGAATTCTAAAGTTCTCATGTTCTCTAAACTCTAACCTTTTGGCAGAGTACTGAAGAAAGCACTAGGCAAGGAGAGTGAGAGAAAAGTAACCCTCGTCCTTCCTCATCATCAACTTCATCATCACGATCAAAGTTTGGTGTAGACTCTTGATATAGAGAGAGGAGCACTTGATGCCATTGTATACTTAGAATCTATGTCAGAGCTCATATCAACAACTATTTTGGTTTCTTCCTCCGATAGTTGCATCCACTCCCTCTTCATTTGACTTAAGGCTTCAGAGATCTCTCATGCTTCTCTTTGTCTGGTTACCCTTGTGAGTATGCGGCTTTGTGGGTATCCTTTGTTGATTTGTTCTTCTTTCATCACCTTTCTTATCTCCATCATGATACCCTTTTCTTTGCCTACCCTTTGGTCTTGAGAACTTGGGGTCCTCACAAGCATAAAGTTGTCAAAGCCTTTGTTTCTTCTTGGAGTTCGTGATTTGTTCTTTGTGAGCAATGAAGATGGCTTGTGATCTTGAAGTTGATGTCAATGGGGAAGAGACCTTCTTTGTGGATAAGGTAAAAATTTTTCTTTTCCTTAGAATTTCTGATTAGATTTTGGGGAAATTTATGAATTGGGTTTTCATAATTTTGCCTCTGGAAGATCTTTAGGGATATGTTTTTTTTTTGTTTTGGTAGAAAAAGCTACATATTTCACTTTCAGGGAAAAGAATAATTCTCTGTTTGGTAATAGTATAAGGTTTTTTTATTTCATCTTGTGATTTTCTTTGATTATTTGCTTAAAGGTAGTTTTTTGCCCCTTTCTCAAGGATAATTGGGATGCCGTCTTTCTTCTTTAATTATTTCCCGTACCGTCTTCTAATTTGGTCAGTTTTCATTCTTCATTAGATACATGTAATGTGTTCTGCTCTTGGAGAGAATTGAAACTGTCACTATAGAGATTGAGCATATTTTCTTCTCATTTTGTCCTATACAAGAATCGGGTATGTACCCGTTTGGCAAAAAAATTATTTTGATTTTTTTTTAAATTAATGGGGAATCTGTGATTTCGTTCGCTCCATCCAGTTTGTTGAGCAGTCATCTCATCTTCCCTCCTCATAGAATTTTTGATTCAGTCCTCTGCTGCCTTATACAAGGTTTTGCCATTTTTTTCTTCTCTTTTCTCCACTCATTTATGGCCTCTCTTCATGTGAGAATTTATTGCGATTCTCATCCTTTCACCTCTCTTACAATGAATTTAAAGCTTCTTTACCAATTAGGGAGGAATCGTACTGCTCTCTTGCCTCCCCTATTCCTTTTCCTCTATTTAATGCCCATAACTACAAGTTGGGAGGAATCGTACTGCTCTCTTGCCTCCCCTATTCCTTTTCCTCTATTTAATGCCCATAACTACAAGTCACCTTCTTGTTTCCTTATCAATCTGCTAGGATTCCCCTTTCTCGTGAATTGAATGCCCCCTGTTTGGTTGGCAACAGCCAAAAGCTGTTAAAACTTCTGAAAGGGATTAGATATGGGCAAATTCATGTAAAAGTCTGACTGTAATATTTTCCTTTTTTTACAGGAAATTCTTTCTTCCTTTTGTGGTAGACTAAGTGAACTATTCAGCAAGCCTTCAGTAATGGAGACGGCAAAGACTCTGAAAGTAGTTCTCCATGAGTTACCAGGGGGGGCTGAGGCTTTTGAGCTCATAACAAGGTTTTGCTATGGCGGTGGCAGGGTTAAATTGAATCCAACTAACACTTGCATCCTTCATTGTGCTGCCCATTTCATGGATATGAACAAGGAAGGCCTAATCAAAGAGACAGAGAAATCCCTTGAAGGGATTTCATATTGGATGTGGACGGAGGTTATTCATTCTCTGAAACAATGCCAGGATTTTATTCTGATTGCTAGCTCCTCTGGTGTCTTAGACAAGGTCTTGGATTCTCTAGTAGGAAGAATTGCTACTCCAGTTGATGCTAGTCCTACTAGTTCTTCACCCGAAAGCTCAGGTTTTCGGTTCTCATTTGACACGAGAAGCACTTTCAGTGGAAAGATTGGTCATTATCGAACTTGGTGGTTCGAAGATCTCACTAGTTTAAGTCTTCAGATGGTAGAGAAAGTTGTCGAGCTTATGATTCAGCGAAAATTTGACCATGTTTCAATAGGCAGGTTTCTATTATACTATCTCAAGGTCAGTCTTGCCAATTCTACACCTGAAGAGAAGAGGAAGACTACAGAGGCTGTTGTTGATTTGCTCTATTCTCTTGACAGAAGTTCTGTGCCTTGCAAGAGCTTGTTCGGGATTCTTCGAGGTTCTTCCTCACAAAATCTTAGCAAATTGTGTAGAAATAGATTGGAGAGTATGATCGGCATGCACATTGATCAAGTCACATTGGATAATTTGCTTGTTCCAGCACCGACGGGGACTGAGAGTTTGTATGATGTGAATCTAGTCCTTCGGTTCTTGCAATTTTTCCTTGATAATGGCGGGCGAAAATCAGTAGATCGAGTGAAGAAAGTAGGGAGCTTGACTGACTTGTATTTGACTGAAGTTGCTCCAGATTCCGGCTTGAAACCCTTGAAATTTATCGCGCTAGCCTCCATTTTGCCTGATGAAGCAAGAGACTGTAACGATGCACTCTATCGAGCTATTGACATGTATCTTGAGGTATATAAAACCGTCACATATCTTTACCTATTGAAAATTTTATGTTTTTGTGCTCATTGTGGTAGCTATCTTTTTCTTAGGTACATACTAGACTCTCTGAAGAAGAGAAGATGAAGATATGTTGTTCTATTAACTACGAAAAACTCTCATCAGAAACCTGCAAGCATCTCGCCCAAAACTCAAAATTTCCATCCAGAACAGCAATTCAAGCTCTCGTCTCTCAACATTCAAAGCTCAAAAACCTTCTGAAGGATACCAACAACCTTAGGCTACTTGGCAAAGGAAGTGACAGCGATGAACAGATAATTCTCTATGCAAAGAAGCTCGATCTCTCAACAGAGAACGAGAAGCTTCGAGCAAATCTAGAGGGAATGCAATGGAAGGTTATGGAGCTTGAGAAGGTTTGTAGAAAGATGCAAGTTAAGATGGCGAAGATGGCGAAGGCCAAGCTACGGAGCAATAGGAAGTCATCTAGATCATTACCAAAACTTTGTTCTTGATTATGAAGTATTTCATAGTATAGATACTAAGTTTGTACATAGAGTTGGTATTACAAGAGGGTTCCACTATAACTACTATTGTTCTTGCCTTCTGCATGGAAGAGTAAAAAGCTGAACAAAAGTGGGGGGCTTGTGTAGATGAGTGTGGGAGATCATTGTGCTATTGGTGCTTTTGATTGTTGACAAATCTATTTGTACAGTTGTTTGAGAAATTTTGGCTCTTCTTTTGTTATTTTAGCCCATGCTGTTATCACTTTTGCTCAGTCCCGTACTTTGAAGACAATCTAATTCATGTGAACACAGTGTTAGAGTTCAAATTAGTTAGTGTATGAAATAGAGGACTTGAATTAGGACAGTTTAAAAACCCAAATGATATATTTCTACATTTTACAAGAGAGTAAAGGTAAACCCTTCTTCTTTTTTATTATAAAATTTCCCCCGTTAGTCTAATCTTACTTTATGCTTGGGATATTGAGATCACGTGACAAGTCAAATTACTGCAATACTATATTAGGTCAAGACAAATGTAGCATCATAACAACCCATGTTGAGGGAGCAGTTGACTAGTGTGGAAAACTAAATAAGAGGAAGTTTTAAGTAGGGTTCTCTGCTGAACGCAGAAAAAGGTTAAGTTAGATGCTCTGATTCGAGCAGAGGAGAGAACATGGGCTCTCAAGTTGAATGCATTAGCTTTGGATAATTGGATGCCCTATTAAACTAAGCTAACTGGTCACATGGTGAAAATTTGAAATGGAGATTTACTAATATCTTTCAACGAGAGCTTAAGTTAATATATAAAGCTCGTTTAAAATTCATTCCCCTACGTATGTTACCTATTGAAAAACCCCTCAATTTGAATGCTACCATTTTCTATTCTTAATTTGTTTTGTTTTTTCTAACAATTTTCAGAGTTACAACAATATATAATTAAACACGAAAATTAATATTTGAATGTAGCTGAACAATATGAGGCTCCAACTACTCATATTCAAACATACATTGCCTTCAAATTATTAGTTTTTTACTTGAGCAGACTCCCACTTCTTGCCTACTAGTTCTCTTTGCCTAAGGCCAGGTATGATGCCATATTTAGTCATGTTCGTTCTGGAAATTTCTCATGATTATATTTGGTGAATTAGAATATAGCTCAACAATCAATTTTTTTTTTGAACTGAAGAAACAGGAATAGCATTCCTGTTCATATATATATATATATATATATATATATATATATATATATATATTATATATACATATATTAATATATATATATTATATATAAAAGAGAGAGAGAGAGAGGAATATGAGTATGCTGGTACCAAGCACAAAATTTGTGCTTGGTAGTGAGGTGGCATATTATCCTCCACTCATTCAAATGGGGGACCACATTCACATGGATTAAATATGGTCCCCTAATTGAATGAGTTGATGAGAATGAGACACATCACTACCAAGCATAAAATTTGTGCTTGGTACCAAGTATACCCATTTTTCTCTTATATATATATATATATATATATATATATATTATATATATATATATATATATATATATATATATATGAGAAAAAAAACATACGGAGAATATACATACCTTACCAAAAAAGGTGAAGGCGCACCAAAAAAGAACAGAAAGAAGAGCAAATTAAAAAGCATCTTCAACCTAAACTAGAGAACACAAAGTCCATTTAGTGAATTAGAATCTCTCATTCATTGAAGGCCAGGACCTTCCACTCATCAATCGAATAATCATCTACATCCATTTAGGATTCTCTTTGTTCCAGGCTAGGCAATGAATAGGTTATGAACTGAATAGTCTTAAAACTTTAAATTTATGTAATGATATCCAGTAAAAAAAACAAATTCTACTTTGGGGAAGATCACGTAACATTTTGGAAAGCCAATAATAGGTCCCTAGTACTTGGGATTCATTTCTTCCCATCATAAGGTATTTCATATCCTATTCACATACAAGATTACAAGGTACTCATACCGTATTTTGATAAATTTCGTCCTCAATAGCTAGGTCAAGTATATTCTAGTTACATCATCATAAGGTAATTAATGGCTAAAACCTTGAAAAGACTAATCATGCGCACGCTATGTCACAAGAGAGAAACCCAACAATCAACACAACTATACAAGTATTAGGTTCATCAATAACACCGTGCCCTTGTTTTAAGAAACAGGATGTAACCGACTTCACCTTTTTACTCAAAAAAAGCAAAAACAAATCACATGAGAAATCCCACGTCACAGGCATCTATTGCCTCCCACGTTGTAGAGAAAAATGGTTAATTAGCGCAGATATGAGCTCATTCATTAGCATTCTTCAGTAATCTTAACCTAACTAAGTTTGGAATTCTCTAACATGCCTCGTCTATTTGTTGCTGATGAAAACTTCTTCTCTTTAAAAATGAGAACGAAGATTCCTGAATTTAGAAAAAAAAAAAATCAAAGCATTAAATGCTCTAAAAGGTATCTCAGTAATTGATGATCGAGGCGAGGAAACCGGCTGAGGGCACGGGTCATTGAGGGTGGACCCAAAGATTGATGAGAGAGAGAGAGAGGGAGAGGGATTTCGAAATGAATTTTTGTACACGGCAATTCACTATAGCTGCTTAAGGCTGACATGAATTTATTGACATGAGACAATGACGAGAGATTTCCCATAAAAACGTGGAATATATTCTTTTTCCCTAGAAGAAGGTTCCATTAGATTCCAATTTATACAGTGGCATCAAGCCCAATGTTTGCGGTTAGTACTAATTGAATCACGTGTCAACTTGCATTGAATTTTTCTACGATGATTGAGCAAAGCTGACGTGCGTGTGTAATTAAGAGTTTGAAATGGGGTTATTAAGCGTTAATTACCCAACAATGCTTAAGCTAACTTCGACCGAAAATTTTGCGCATAACATCAAAAGAATAACTTCTTCTTAGATCTTGATTAGAACGGTTGATGTATGGAATCACACAGTCAAATAGAAGTAGATTAAGTTGACGGAGATCCTCTAACTCTCCAAATGTCTGATCTTTGGGCAAGTTGTACTTCCCTGCACAAGTAACATATCGTAAGAGGGTGGGGTGTGATTCATCGGTTGTTCCTCCGACGGTCAAATCAGTGGGTGGCTTGTGTGGAGAAGTAAAAGGAAATGTAGTAGTTCTTAAGTTTAGAGAATGGTGGAAAAAAGCTTACCCTGTAACGGAAAATAGTATCTCCTTTTATAATAGTGGAAGGAGAGTAGGATGGTAACTTTGGCCGGGCATGGGTTGGCGGCCAAGTCAGCTTCAACTTTACATGTGTCGGTCGAGGAGTGGAGGAGAGGTCACTTCGGTTTAATACGAAGTGATGTAGGATGTGCGATGTCCACATGGTCCGTCGTGTCATAAATATTATTGAAGGTAGAGGAATGATGATGCCCATAATGCATTAAATAGCATTTTATGGCAAGGTGATTGGTCATCAGTGCACAGGAGGGCTCGAGGCATTTCATCGTCTTTCTACTCGTCTGGTGATCGAGAAGTACCGTTTTCTGAGTCGTCCTCGCAAGGTGTCGACCGATTAGTCGGCCGAGTTGAGTGGTTAAGTAGTCGACTCAGCATGGGGGCGATACGTAACGCCTTTCGGGTCGTCGATACGTAACGCATTTCGAGTCGTCGACATGTAACGCCTTTTGGGTCGTCCTCACAAGATGTTGGTGTGTCGAGTTGGCCGAGTTGAGCCTCTAATTGTCTTAAGGTGCTGACTTGATTATGTATATATAATGTGAGATACATGTCTTCCATCGATTGATGATTATTCTCCATTACTAAAATGACTATAACAAAGAACTAATAAGACTAAGACTATTGACGAATTATAGGAAGTTTACTATTCTAATTTATATTATTCTAATTTACTAACATGATATGCCATAGTATTTAATCTGGCCATTACTCCGATTGGTGATTATCATCAATTTTAAGGATAAAAGGAATTATTATCAGTTATAAGGAGAAAAGGAACTTTAATAGAGGAATGATTGATGAAATGCTAGTAATTATTGATCTTCGTGATTCGTGTGGGCCTAGAGTTTTCTAGTGGCACGTACACTCGCATGAGACGACAACATTCAAATTCAAAGTTGGAGAACTCAAGCTGTCCTCTTGTAAATAGCTAAATATCCATATTGTTATTTTAATTTTACCCCATTTACTAAGAAAGTATTTTAATTAGGCAAATTTGCTTTAAGACATTTTAATTTATTCAATTTACCAACAAGACCCTTTTTCTTATCGGCGACCAGTTTTCCGACGAGAGCTCGTCATGTGCGTGGCACGTGATGATTTAAACTGTTTTTTAACTGCTGATGTGGCACAGATTTTCTGACGTGGCAGTGTTTAAAGGCGGGAATTAACACTCTAAAAATCCCAATTCACCCAAAATAGGACAGATCTGTGCCACATCAGCAGCTAAAAATAGTTTTACCCATCACGTGCCATGCACGTGACAAGCTCTCGCCGAAAAACTGGTCGTCAACGAGAAAAATAATCTTATTAGTAAGTTGAATCAATTAAAATACCTTAAAGCAGGTTTGCCTAATTAAAATACCTTCTTGATAAATAAGGTGGAATTAAAATACCAATATGGGTATTTAGCCTCTTGTAAATTATACATATTCCATATCTTCGTTGGCAAGCAAAAGCAAATGATATAATGATATAATGATACATGTACCTAAGTTATCGGTAATTTTAGCACAAAGGAAGGATATAAGTGGGGGCAGCCTTACGTTTATTTGCATGATTAGCTCTCTATTTAGTGAAAAATAGCAAGGGAAAAAGAAACATTATTAGATCACATTCGGAGTGCCAACCACTTCAATAAAACTTTCAATTAGCTAGCTTGTTTCGTTTTCCTTGATAAATATAACATCATGCCATCAATTTCGGAAAGCAACAAACGTAAAAATAATAAAGAAAGGAAAAAAAAAAGGGTCCATTAAAAACAAAGGAGCAAGGGCCAATCTCATATGATTTTGGAAAATTAAGGCTTGCTTCTTGTTGGATCTACTTTCGGCCAAGTTAGAACCCACTTTTTGGCTTACTAGTGCTCCCTATCATACGCATACACCACCATTTATTACTTAAGAGTTTTTTTAATCACCTATCCTTTTTTTAAGACTAAATAAATTGCTCTTTATTAGAGGCAAATATCGTTGGCAAGGATTTGTTCAGAAAAGAGGCGACACTTTCACAATTAATGTGTAC